ACGAAGAGTTATGAGTTTATTTTATAATACTCTTAAAGACAAAACAAAAACCTTAGCCCTAGCTTATTGACATTCTTTTGTTTAACTTTTTTGTTTTGTTTTTTCTAGTATAATTTCTCCTCCGAGAGAGGGCGCTATTGGATTAAATCCCAAGAAACGGGCAGAGAAACATTAGCATTTCGTGGTAGTTCAGCTCTCTAGATACTCGTTTTTTTAGGCCTACTAGTAACCAAAAATGTTGTAGTACTATTCCTAGACAAATGTGTTCATTTTACTTTGTCCTGGCTCTTTAACTTGCTACAACTGTTACAAATACTCATGGGTTTGAGTTCTTGCAGTTCCACTTACAAAGCAGCATGATCGTGATTCATTCGTTCATTTCCCTCTTCGTGGAGCTCGAGGTAAAGTGAAGTTTTACAGAAAACAAACACATAATCCTCAATCACCTTGCAAGAGTTTCAGAAGATGATCTGACCTCTGTTCATTGAATGTCCGGCCATGTTCTGCTGGCTTCTGAGAGCAGCCCCCATGACTGTAGCTTCATGGTTGCTTTTGGAGGTAAGGTTCTTTTATTTCGTCGCCATTACATAAATATAATAATCTTGAAATTTAACTGTTTTCTTCATAAGTCACTTTAATGAAAACGAGGAAGAAACGTTAGGCTAAGCGCCCTGGTATATGAGTACGTCATCATAACAGAGGAGGAATATGCGAGCATTTTCTTATTTTGCAAAATGAAATGATACTGTTTTTTGGACTTACTTGATTGTTTGTTGCTAAGCCTACACGAGTATTGAAATCCGGTTTTTAGTGTTATAAGCCTTTGAAATCAGGGCAAGATATTTTAGTCTGGAGTGCACGTAATGCAAGCAAGTATTAAACATCATAGGAATAACACGACTTCTCTCTAGTAAAATAACGATTTTAATGCACGTATTATATTTTCTCTGACGGTTCGCTGTATTGGCTTCATCATTGTGTAAAACAACTGACAGATAGTTGTAGGTCAACTATTACTATAACTATTGGCAACAATGTAATAGAAAAATTGGAATCTTGATTGTCAGTTTTAATAACTTAATAGAAAAGTTGAAATCTTACTTGTAAGTTTCAACAATGTAATATAAAACTTGAAACCTTAGTTCTAAGTTTCAACAATGTAATATAAAACTTGAAACCTTAGTTCTAAGTTTCAACAGTGTAATATAAAACTTGAAACCTTAGTTCTAAGTTTCAACAATGTAATATAAAACTTGAAACCTTAGTTCTAAGTTTCAACAGTGTAATATAAAACTTGAAACCCTAGTTGTAAGTTTCAACAATGTAATATAAAACTTGAAACCTTAGTTCTAAGTTTCAACAATGTAATAACAAACTTGAAACCTTAGTTCTAAGTTTCAACAATGTAATATAAAACTTGAAACCTTAGTTCTAAGTTTCAACAATGTAATAGACAAATAGAATCTTAGTTCTAAGTTTCAACAATGTAATAAAAAAAATGGAATCTTAGTTCTAAGTTTCAACAATTTAATAGAAAAGTTGAAATCTTACTTGTAAGTTTCAACAATGTAATATAAAAGTTGAAACCTTAGTTCAAAGTTTCAACAATGTAATAGAATAGTTGAAACCTTAGTTCTAAGTTTCAACAATGTAATAGAATAGTTGAAACCTTAGTTCTAAGTTTCAACAATATAATAGACAAATGGAATCTTAGTTCTAAGTTTCAACAATGTAATAAAAAAATGGAATCTTAGTTCTAAGTTTCAACAGTGTAATAGAAAAGTTGAAACCTTAGATGTATGTTTCAACATGTAATAAGTAATCTGTTTCCCCTCTAAACACGTGGTTAGCTGTAGAACGTGTAATAAGGCGTCTGTTTCCCCCTAAACACGTTGTTAGCTGTAGAACGTATAATAAGGCATCTGTTTTCCCCTAAACACGTGGTTAGCTGTAGAACGTGTAATAAGTAATCTGTTTCCCCCCTAAACACGTGGTTAGCTGTAGAACGTGTAATAAGTAATCTGTTCCCACTAAACACGTGGTTAGCTGTAGAACGTGTAATACACGTTGTGTATATGTCATCTTGTATAAGTATTGCCCATGATAGGTTTGAGGGATGTCCAAACCATTATAAGTTGTTCATTACAGTGATTCAAACTTCAATAGTTGTTCCATATATTAACCCTTACTCCATCGTATCGTGTTACATTATGTCGTAGTTACAAGTACACGTTTACTGGAGTAAGCTATGCCTGTGAAACTGTCCAATAACTGAAGCCAAATGCTACAATTTGTCGAATATAAATGTATGTTAATCGTTGCTTTTTGTTTATATATATACAAGAAAGTTGCTGATCAATGTACTCAATACGAGAGTAGTAATTATGACCTTAGTTGACCTTGCTGATAAATGTACTCAATACGAGAGTAGTAATTATGACCTTA